TTTCCCCAGTTGGGATCTTTTTCTTTTGCTTCATCTATGGCGCCACCTCGCTTACAGACTTCGGGTTCTTTTCGCCATCGGCTTGCGGTTCACTTCGACATCATCTTATTCACATGCCATCAAGGGCACTGGCTCTGGGCTTTCAGGACAAATTGACTAAAACGGGTCCCCGGCAAACTCGATGTTTCTCAGATAAGTCATTTTCTCTTTATTAATGCGCTAACTGCTGACTGCGTATAATGTCCCGCACCCCTCTTGTTTTATAATTAAATTTAACAACGTATCATAAAAAATTTCAATAATACGTCAGCTTGTGAGCTCCACTAGATCACGCCAAGATCAGGACCTCACTGGGCATGTTCCACATTTACTGTAGATAATTAACTTCCTGAAATTCGAGGAACAACATATCACATATTTCTAGCCACTGGGTTTTCAGCGATCTCATTACAGCACGAAACACTGCAGAAACGCATGATCGCACGGCCCGCCCGGTGCGCGCCGCCAATGATTTTCTTCAGTTATTCGTTTTTTTTCCGGACAGTAAAGATGAGCTTTCGGATATAGACTTGGAAAATCCCAATACCCTCCATAAATCAGCAAGGTAACACGAATAACATACCATATTAGATGGGAAATTTCTCAATGGACGTATCGGTGAGCAGTCGCAATCTTCAAGTGAACCAGGCCTTGGCCCACTTTTACTGCATCCACTTTTCAAAGATTCCAGCCGCTTATTTACTACTGTTTTGGGCCGTCCACGCGCACCTGCCACAGAAGTTCTCTGAAATTAGCAAACAACTCTGGCTATGCAAATTTTGTGCTTTTAATTTCGAGAAAAAAATTATGAACCAGAATTTCTGATGGGGAAAAATTTCAACGATTGCAAGGGCAAATAAATAGCAACGCGCACCAGACTAGCCGGTGCGATCATGCGTTTTGCGCAATTCAGCCCATCGAACGATTGCCTATTAATGATTTTCATTGCTTTGTACATTAGTCTATGCAAAAACAGTTGAAACGTTGGAAAATAATTAAAAATTTCATGCACCGGCGCAAGAAAGCTAAATTTGAAATCTTGAAGAGTGAACATTCTTCCGTGATTCCCGAGATAATCGTTTGCCCGCCAAAGTTTTCACGAGGCCGTAGGTGGTACCCGAGAGCGCGAGAACGTTGAATTTGAATGGTCAAGGTTGGGCGTGGGTAGGGGTCACTGCCCTGAAATTTCAGCCTCCTAGACTCCGTAGTTCCCGAGATATTAACATACCCGTAAAAAAATTTCGTGGGGCCGGACGTGTTACTCGCAGGTAAAGAGAGGCTGAATTTGAATGGGCAAGGTTGAGCGTGGGCAGAGGGTCATTACCCTAAAATTTCAGCCTCTTAGACTCTATGTTTCCCCAGATATTAATTCACCCGTAAAAAAACTTTCACGGGGGCATAGGTGTTACCCGCGGGTACGGGGAAGCTGAATTTACATTTGCGGGGTCACACGTGGGTGGGTAACGTTACCCTAAATTTTCAGCTTCCTAGCTTTCGTGGTTCCCGAGTTGAAAGTTGCGGACAAGTT